GTGGGCCCGGGTGCGCTCGGTCGCCCCGGGCTCTTGCCTGGCTTTCGGGGCGCGCAGGCTGTGCGGGCTGCACGGGCAGGGCTGCCGTTCGGGCAGGTCTTCCTGCACGATTCCTTTATACTTGGGCGGGAACCCAGCAAAAATAGTAGTTCCGTTATAAGTGCGTTTTAAAACACGTTGTGCGCGATTTTGCAAGGCAGCTTTTTCTATCTTACAGCTTTGACTAAAGAGACTGAATCTGGAGTATCTTTACTAAGTTTTTTTTTTTGTCTGCATTGTTAAGCTACTCTTTGCTCTTATGGCTGAACTGCAGTACTGTTCTAAGGTAAAACGTTCTGAATGCAGAAATGGGCAGGATTGAATATAGTGCAGAACTTGGAGGTGGTTTCAAGGTATGTTTAGTGAGACTGTGTTTACTGGCTTTTAAAATGAGAGACTTCTTCCCGTTAAAATAACTAGCTGTAGTGATCTTTGCTTTGTTTAGACAGAAATATCGTACCTTCTTTCTTTGAAAGCAGCCTAGACTGGTTGAAGTTCTTCTAAAATTTCCTAAACCTCAAATACAAAAAATAATTAATACAGCTTTTTTTTTTTTTTAATGATTTTTGTGTCTGAAAGTTGTTTATTTTAACTAATTTGTGGTTTTTATTTTAGGCTGCAGTCAGGTACGTGGTAATACAGAATTCTGCCTGGTTAGTGTAAAACATCAGGGTTTTGAAACCCTTAGGTTGGAGAACCTTCAGATCAAGAATTTCTTAGATATTTGTGATGCTATCATGATTAGTTTGTATCTTGGCTGAAATATCTTGATGGCTTAAGAATGTTACGCTTTTGAGGTAATATGCTATTTATAGCTTTGCCTGTATGACGCATTGGTCAAAATAATAAGTCAGTCTTGAAAACAAGAGGACTCCTTTTTCTCCACCCACACACACCCCCCCACGCCACCCCTCCAGCGGAACCTAAAATCTGTGTATTGGCAGGGGAGTCATACTGTTCCATACATGTCTAAAGAATACCAGAACACATCAAGTACCATCTCTAAAAATGTCATTGGCATGTGCCGGTAAAACGGTGTGTTACACCCCGTCGTTCTGTCATCCTCTTCCTCCTCCTCCAGGCAGCCCATTCTGGAGCAGGTTCTGAGCTGTACACGCTTGAGGTTTCCAGGCTGGGTCAGTGCAATTAGCTTTACTGTATAGAATCACAGAATTGTTTAGGTTCGAAAAGACCTTTAAGATCATCACCAGCCATTAACCTAACACTACCAAGCCCACCACTAAACCAGTTAAGGGTGCTGTAATAATTAATTTCATGTTTCCTGGCTTGGTGGTATGCGTGTGCCTTACCCAGTATGTGTTGGTTGTAGCTTTGTACCGTGGGCTGCAGTTGCATCAGGTCACCTTTCTATTGTTCTTCAGTGGGGGTGATGCTCCTGTGCTTCAGAAATATAGGGCGAGACAGATACTCGCACCCAGTCCAAAATTGGAAATGGCTGGGAAAAGCAGTGTGTTACATTCAGTGGAGTATATTTTATGTAGTCTGCTTCAGACTAGTGGTTCCCAGTTTGCAGATTCCCAAGTCTGATACAAAATTCGAGCAGATACACCGAGTCGGCCACTGTCCAGCACAGCATAAGGCCAGTCACTTTGTTCTGCGTGCCAGTTGCAGAAGTGGGAGAGCTGGAGAGCACCACACAGAGAAGCTTCTTTTGCTGGAGCTGGTAGTAATGGTAGCATGAGACAGCACTCCTGGGATGGGATTGGGCTGGGGAGTTAGACCTGCTGATAAATGAAACATCAGCATATCCTACTTAAGGGAACAAGCAATAAAAATTTGGAAATGTTTCCTCTCAGTATGTCTAGAAAGTCTTTCATACTGCACTACAATTAGACTAAAACAACGGGCTCCAATGCAAATAGTGACATTCCCCAGTGGAAATGGGTAACCTTAACTCTGCTCTCTAATGACATGGTGATACCCCTTATTCATAGGAGTTGGTTCTAGCCCATCACTAGTTCTTTTAGAAGCTACAGCAGTATACAAATGCTTGGAAGTGTTCTATTATTTGTAAGTGATACAGAGGAAAGAAATAATAATGCTGAGTGAAATAATGTTGAGGCTGTGTATGTATCTTTAGTATAATGATCAATCTCCTGTCTTCACTTAAGCTGCATTTTTGTATCACTTAAGCTGCATTTTTGTATCACTGTATGTACTGGATGTACAGATAGTCTTACATTTGCATTACTTTATTTTATCCAGCTTTCTCAATTAATTAAAAAAGGACTTGTAACTCATTTTGTGCCTGAGTTACAAGTGTTTAACAGTAACTCTGAAGCTAACTGAAGTCCTGCATCTGAAATGACATAACCCTGTACCATCAGACAGGTGAGAGGCCAGCTGGCTAGGAAGCAGGTTTGCAGGAGAGGAGCTGGGAGTCCCCACAGACAAGTAAGTTGAACATGAGTCAGCAGTTCTTGCAGCAAAGGCAGCCAACCAACAGCATCCAAGAGTGTAGCCAGCAGACTGAGAGGGATGCTTCTTTCTCTCTTCTCGGCACTGCTGAGATGCATCTGGGGTACTGTGTCAAGTTTTGAGCTCCTCAGGATAGAATAGACATGGACATGCTGGAGTGAAGGTTTATGAAAACAGTTTAGGGAGCTGGAGCACAGGAGGCTGAGAGAGCTCGGTTTGCTCTGCTCTAAGAGGAGAAGAATCAAGGGTGATCATAGTGATATCTATATCTATTTAATGGGAGGGTGTAGAGAGGACAGTCGGATCCTTCTCAGAGGTGCACAGTGAAAGGGTGAGGGAGGCAGTGGACACAAGCTGGAACACAGGGAAATCTGAATAGATACACTTGACTGGGCAGATTTCTGAGCAGCCTGATCTAGTTGGTCATTCTTTGAGCAGGGCATTTTACTTGTTAGTTCTGGAGATCCCTTATGGCCTAAATTATTCTGTGACTGTCATAAGAAAGTTACTAGTCATTTATTTCATGAGTAACCCCATTAGAAGAAAGAAAGATAGGTGAACATAATTTTGAAAACTAATTTCTGAATCGAGTGTATGGTTAAGCTAAGTTATAAGAGAAGTGTTGCACTAATGTTTCTGAATATAGGCTATTTATTTATGTGTCTGTGAAGCAAAATACAGAAGATTGTAAGTAGAGTTGATTGCTAAAGTTTAATGGCATATATATACACTTGGTCAAAGGTTAATGGTGTTCATGCAAAAATGTAAATTTATGGATATAAATACATTTAACAGTAAGTGGCAAATGGCAGTTCTTTTGAAGCTTTCTTTCTTCAGGCTTGGTTAGCAGTGTAGGATCTTTCAGAGCATTATCAATCCATTTTTGAAAGAAAAAGATACTATTATTTTGCCTCTCCAAAGGTACTTTCCTTAGTACATTTGCTAATAGGGTTTTTTTTTTGGTTGGTTTTTTTTTTTTTTTGGAATGGCTATGTTGCTTCGTATTCATTATTAGCTTTTTTTACACGGAAAGTGGGTTTTCTTAAGTTTGGTGCTAGCTTTTGTCGTACATCTGTTTAAAGAGACTGCAGGTTTAATCAGTAAAGGTGACCAGATTGATTTCGTAGGACATGTCTCTGCTTTTCATTTAAGCTTGGTGTAGGGGGCCCTGAGTTGCCACTGTCTGGCTATACCAGCAACGTGCTGAGTCCAAGCTAATAAGCCTTGCCTCTCAGCAAGAAAAGGAGTCCATCTTGAGAAACATAAGGATTCAGACTACTTAGTTTATTTAGGAGAAAGGCAAGAGATAATTTGGTGGAAAGCTCTTTTTTTTTTTTTAAATGGTTAAAAAAACCCCTTTCTAATCTAGTGAAAAAACAAATAGAGACTAAAAGGTGTAATTTCATCCTATGGTGAAGTTAAATACTGTTGAAACAATTGATCTGGGGCTTTCGCATGTAATGTTTTACCAAAATCTTTCTAACTCATTCCACTGAGATGTACACTTTCAGATTTTGTCTAGGTTTAACTTGATCTCATTGGTGGTTGTTTTTTTTTTTTTTTCTAGTTGTTGATATTTCCATTTATCAAAAGTGGCATTAATTACAAACCTAACATAAGTTACAAATTCCAATGTAAAACTAGGTGAATGGTGTTAATGCATTATAAGTCTTAAGGTTTTATATAAATTTTTTCAAAGAGAAGCAATTCAAGCTTGAAATTTTTATAGAAGAAATATTAAAACTTTAAAAAAATTAGTTTAATAACTGTCAGAAAATCTATTTCAGTAAAATGACCAGGAATTTGATTTGTACGTTGTAGCTGTGGTTCTGAACAAATTTTAGATATTACAAATATTTTGGATAAAACCACTCCAACTACTGAAACATTTTACAACCTGCTTAGTTGAGTATGTGATGCAGATGGAAATAATTCTGGGAATTCTTATGTCAACATTGGGTTGAACTCCCATTATATTAATTTCTATAGACACGAAATGATATATCCACTGAGATCCCCAAGAATTGAGTAAGTGATGCAATACTATGCTGTATTGTATTAAATGTTGGGGTTTTTTTCTACAGGGTAAAATTCTCTACAAAGTACGGTGGAAAGGATATACCTCTGATGATGATACGTGGGAACCAGAGGTTCATTTGGAAGACTGCAAAGAAGTGCTGCTTGAATTCAGAAAAAAAATTGTTGACAATAAGCCTAAACCTGTTAAAAAAGACATACAGGTATGTTTCACCTTCCAATATCTTACACTGAAAAGGTGTTCCCTACCTAGGCTCTGCTAATGGGGGGAGGGAGAAGGGAAGGCATTTGGGAATTAAGAAGAGTTAAGAATTAAGAATCCCTTTGATCTGGAAGTGTTTTGTTTCATGTGAAACTGAATAATCTTGCTGCTCTCTGGTTAGGGATTTTTTTATTAATTGACAGGTTTGCTTGTAGACTCTAAATCCATCTAAACTCTATTTCAGTTTTTAATGGGACTATATAAATGATGTATGGTCATTTTAGTTTGCTTTTGACAACACAGACAACCCCCGTCCCTACCCACATGCATATTGTCTTGTCAGTGAAGCTGGGCAGTGCTCAATTCACCCTCCTGCTTTGTGGAGAAGATTGATGAATTTTTGCATGTTAACCATGAAATTTGGTAAGATAGGAATACAGAAAAATTAATTGCAAGGAGGCAACATGTGGCTTTTTCTTTAACTGCTCAGTTTGAAAATGAAGTGTAAGAATCTTCTTTGAAAACTGTTACCCTACTTCTGGGAAACCTATAGGTAAATTTTACAAAATCAGGTTAATTGTTTTTGATGTAAAATAGTTCAGATTTAGTTCTGTTCTGGGATCTGGTTATTGAATATCTGATTGGTTTACTTGACTTTTTCATGTATTGATTCTCATCCAAGCAGTTACTAATGTAATTTAGGTAAGTGAGCTAGAATTGTATTTACAAATTTTACAATTTGGCAATGAGGAGTGATGTTTGCAGTGATAAAAAGATTAAAGTGTTTAAAAAGTTACTTTTCCCAAGCACCACCACTACCATTTTTGTATAGTTTACACCAAAGTGATACAATTTAACGGGGAAAGAAATCTGTTCTTTTTTCCCCTATCTTTTAGAAACTATCTCTAAATGATGATGTGTTTGAAGCAGAATCTGACAGTGACTGGCAAAGTGAAACAAAAGATGATGTTTCACCAAAGAAGAAGAAGAAGAAGTCAAAAGATGGAAAGGAGAGAAGTCCAGATGATCTGAAGAAGAAAAAGTCTAAGTCTGCAAAACTCAAAGAAAAACGCAGAACAGAATGTGAAAATTCCTCAGATACTTTGGTTTCAGATTCGAAACCAAAAAAAAGGACTTCAGAAACCAAGGAGGATTCAAAGGACCCAAAGAAGCAGAGGAAAGAAGATCCTAAAGACATCAAGAAAAAGAAGGGAGAAGTTAAAGATTTAAAAATAAAATCTAAAGAAGATTCTAAAGAAAATAAAAAATCACGGAAGGAGAGGCATGGAGATGTTCAGTTTGACTCAGAATCAAGTACTCTAGACGACGTATTTTCTCAAGGAACTGATAATGAAAATTCAGACTTAAATTCTGAAAATAAAGACGAGAAGCAAAAGGTAGTAACTGGAGAAGAGAGGTTGGAACAAGAAATTGCTGAAAAAGATTCCATTGCTGATAGGCATCTTGATGGATCAGCAAGTAATGAAGATGATAGTATTGATGTTAAGGTTAAAAGAAAGAAGAAAAAAATTCAGAAAGCTGAAGATTATAAAGAGGAAGGTAGAAAATTGGAAACTCAAGATACCTATTTAGAGAAGAGAAGCATGCACAAAAAGCAAAAAGGTCAAGAAAAAGTAAAAATGGTACCCGGAGAGTTGGAGAAAGTGTCACCTGCTCCTTCACCAGTGCAGAAGGGTTTGAAATGGAGCACTGATGAAAGAGGGTGCAAGTCCACCGATTCAGCTGGGGAGGTAAGCAATGTTAAGGCATTGGGGTGGGGGCTGGGGAATAAATCGTACATCTTTGAGGTACAGATATCTCAAAAGGCCACTGTTCATGATAGCAAAGAGAAAAATACAAATTGGGAAGTTAATGAGCTGGATGAAGCTGAAGAAAGGCCCGCTGCACAATGTATAGGAGACGCTGAAAAATTTCTGGATTCTGGACACTGTAAATGAGGGAGCACTTTAGGAGAAAAGGATGTCCTTAAATGTGAAGGTATGAGTTTCTCCTCTTTGTTATGCGTACTTACTTAGAATGAAATTTACTGTTCCTCCAAAGCCATTTTTAGCTTTGTTCCCCTCACCTTCCACAGTTGCCTCAGTTTGGCTTTTTTCTACTTCTGTAGCAAGACATTCAGCCTTGAGCAACTATCCATCCAACACTGCACAATGAAGTGCACTTCTGAGCTAGAACACACACTTGATCTCTCTCAAAAACCAGGCACTCCATTGTACCTTACATGTGTTAGCACGTACCTGAGAATTGGAATGCTGAAATCGCTTCTAAACCCAAGTCTCCCAGACAATTGTGCAGCTGGCTTGTCTTGTTAGAATTCCTGGGGTGCTTATAGAAGATGCTTAGTTTCATGACATGGTTTCGTATTAATTACAAATTCTGTACCTGTTCTGAGAAATGAGCTAAGCAAATACTGGAATATTTATTTTTTCCTTATTTAATACCGTAGTGTTTTGAGAAAAGCAGGATGGTAAAGGTAAAAGGGGGGAAAAAAAAAAAGGGGAAAAAAAAACCCCCAATATTTCTGGAATGTTTCTGAGAATATTATTTCTTTCAGCTGCTTCAGAGTGTTCTAAGACAGTTTGCAGTTCATAAAACTTTGGCTGCTCAGAGAAGCCCCTTTCTGATTTGTATCAGGATTGCAGCCAAAACACCTTGATACTTACTGGATTACATCCCACTTCTTCTGAGGCCATAATTCTGTGGCGGCAAGTTTCTTCTGTAGGTTCAGCTGTGGTCCTCTGCTTAAGATTGTTGTATGTGTGGACTAGGCTGCCTTAAACATAAGGAAGTTGATTTTGGGGTACAGAATTACGTGGCGTAATCTCAGAGTAGAGCTACACAAAATAGCGTGTTTGCAAGAGCTTAGCGGTGAAAGCTGTTGTAAACAAGGTTAAGCAATTACTATGAGGCATAGCCCAGTTTCAAAAAGTTACTTAATTAACTGAAATGGTATGGCCCTTTATTACTCAAGTATGTTTTCGTAGTTCGAGGCTATAGCATTCATGAGAGAGAGACATCAGTGATGATAATCAGGTAAATCTTTGGGATTCTGTTTTAGTTACCAGTAGTATAAAAATCCTGTCACCCCAAACATGAAGAAGTCAACAGCAAATGAAAGTTGGTTTGCTTATGGCTCTTCAGCCAGCAGTCTCAATAAGTTGTCTGTATGCCTTTCTCATGATCATGCGCTGTGGAAGGTCATGCTCCAAGGTACCAAGGAAGCAAGGAAAGCATTCTGCTCTTAGCTTCTTTTTCAGTCTAGGAGGATTAAACAATGTTTTCTGTAACTGGTTAGTTACTCTCCAGAGCAGCTGTGGCCTTACTATATGGGTGGGTTTGGTGGAGAGTTGTGGAGGTTTTTTGGCTTCACTAAATTGTTGGCCCAAGCAGATTATTCTTTTCAAATAAAATCATTGCATATGTTTCAGCTACCTGTCTTTCTTTATGTATTTCTGATTACAGAACACTGTCACATCAATTTATAATACAGTATTCTCTGTTTGGAGTCCATTTGCATGCTGAGCCATTCTTTCCATTCGATTTGCGTCCAAAAATAAACGTGCAGTGTACGCTCTGCATCTGATCAGTATTGGAAATCTGGCATAGAATTCAGGATTACTGATTTTAACAGCTCCTCTGTGTAGCAAATATCTGGTAATCCGTTTAGTAAGTTATGGGTCTCCTCCTAAATACTGGGCATCTGCCGGGATTAACAGCTCTCTGTGCTACTAGTTAATCATGCCAGTGATCAAAAGCTGAGGTTGGGGGGGGAGGGAGGGGTTGAGACGGCTGGTTAAATGTCTCAGCTCTGCTAACACTATGATATGCCAAATTCATCTATTTTAGTTTAAGTTTTTCCCGTGTCAGAGAAATGGTAGCATTTAATGATAAATTGAGTCTGTAGTTCTCGTGGGGACATCTTTTGGGGCAGTTTTTCAGAAAGCCCATGCTATTCCATGTACCAGGTTAGTGTCAGGGACTGATACAAAGCCATGCCAAGGAGCCTTGTCCCACCTGCTCTGCAGTTTGGAATTTGCTGGCTGAATCGAGAGCGAGAGACGATTACAGGAAGAGAAAGGCAGCCTTTGGTGGAGGCAGTTGAAATCTATTTTGGTAAATTTGATCATATATCTACATCTACCATAAATTTCTTCTGTGATACTGGATACTATACTGCTAAGCTCAGTCTTCTGTGTGGATATGGTGGGTTTGGGTGGATTTTTCTGAGTGTCTGTTTTTCACAAATGACTGTTGCCATAACATCCTGTATGTGTAAACTGGAAAACTTGGAACCTTCTGTATACAAATGTCAGGTTTTCTTAGTTAAGGTTCAAGTCAGTGCTATCATAACTGCTTTGAATATGATGCCACAAAGATGTTAAATACTTTGAAATAATTACATTCTATTCAGATTTGGTATTTGGAACAAATGAAAAGTTCATAATTTTGAATTTTCTTCAAAATGCTGGTTTTAGCATATCTTCACCTCATGCCATAAAGCACCTTGCATGGCTGGGATGCAGTAAAAATCTGAATTAAAGTAATTTTATTTTGGAAATAACACCTCATCTCTTGCAGAAGAAGCCTTCACAGACTTAACTCCTGACTCACCTGTTTAATTCTTTCTTAGGAATGTTCACAACTCTCTTATATACAGGTTTCAGTAGTATTAATTTTAAATATATTTTATTGTTGGAGTGGTGAAATTAGTTTATTTCCCATTTTTTCTATACCACTTTAATTTGATCCTTGTTCTCAATATTAGGAGAAAGAAGTAAAGAAAACTGAAACAAAAGAAAAATCTCAAAAGATTTTTTTTGTGAAAAAGAAGAAAAGAACAGAAAAGAACAAAAGGGCCTAAAAAGTAAGTGCTAACTGCTTAATAGAGAGAAGGGAAAGACCCTTCAGGACATTCTCCTCCTATTTCTGTAAGAGCGGCTATTGTGTATAGTTTTGTAACACATACCAGAAACAAGAATTTCTGCTTTTATTTTAGGAAGCAAAAGTCTGCTGTTTAATGGCATTGTTAATATATGCTTCATGAGAGTGCTGTATGTACTTTCATGTATGAAGCATGGAAGTGTATAGAAATCTAATGTTTTTGTAGACAAGTCAAGATTTTGCCCTTTTTCACTTAATATTGTCAACTATGCTTCTGTGGCATGTAACGGTAATCTTTTCTTTTTTTTAGAGGAATTCATCCAGCTATTGGCTATTTCCAGAAGTGTTCTGATGATACTAGGAATACACACTTCTTATGTTTAGAAAAACTAGTAGAGGTTCCCGTCAGACAAACTTCTTGCCTCTTGCTTTAGCCACAATGATGAGTTATATTATACAACCCTTAAAATATCACCAGAACTGAATGGTTTGATACATGAAGAAAAATGTCTAGGTTGTATTTCTGTTCTTAATAGTATAATGGAGCATTAATGTTACCACTCTTGATCTCAGTAAAATTCTGGATGATTTTATTCAAGATAAATTCCCTCACTAATCTGATGAGGATGAACTGCGGAAAACCAGGTAGCTCCACCTTTGATAACCATGAATGGATCTAGGAGGAACTATGATGCTTCAAATAGCTGTTGCTAGGGAAACATATTTCAATGAAAGTAGCATGGATGCTTACAGTGCTTAGGAAAAGCAGTAACAAACAGAATGATTAATTATGGTTCCTTATACAGCACCTGTCCTTCGTCTGTTCATCAGAGATACTGAAACATATTTTCAAAGTAGTAATTTACGCATAATTCTAAACTACATTTCATAAAAAAGAAGATGGTACCGTGTTGAAAACAGTCAGAACTCGGACTTGCCAGAGTAGCTGGAGGTGAACTAGCTCTTCCCAATTTTTGGCTTATGTTACTAAGCTTGCTCCTACGTTTCAGCAATGATTTGAGAAGAGACCTTTTCTAAATGGACTCTGGTCACTCACTTAAACTTTGTTATGTAATAGTCTTTAGTGGCTCAAGTAGTCACTCTTGGTAACTGTCTTAATATTCTAGGCTTTAAGGACATCAAAAGTGCATTTGACTTTAATGTAGCTTCAGAAGAAAAAAGTGAATATTCTGAGAATAACTGCAAAAGAGAAGAATCTTCGCTAGAATATAAATTCATAGAAGAATTAAAATCAAAAGACAGCAAGGTGTACAAGGAAAGGAGGAACATAAGAGATGAAACAGACACATGGACTTATATTGCTGCAGAAGGTGATCGAGAAGTAGTGGATGTGTGTCAAATGGAGAAATCTGGTGAGCAGTAGAAACAAATGCAGGGGAAAGTTGAGCACTGGCACTTACTATTTTCTC